TGTAATTTTCATAATAAGCAAGTACATAAAGAAGTACATTCTGTTCAGGTGATAACCGAGCCTCAATCAAGCAGAAACTTTTTGCTTGAAATTTAAAAAAAAAATTTCTATTAGTGAAATTTCTTTTTTTTTTCTTTTTTTTTTTTCTTTTTTTGGAAGCACCCTGTTATCTAAAGAATCTTTGTAAGATTTTTGTAAAATTTTGTTTTACGAGATTTTATTTGAAATTGTTTTTTGCAAGATTGTTATATTTCTGTATGAATGTATTTTTTATTGGAATAACATAAAAGAATTCTTATCAGCATCTTGTTTCTGGTTGTTTTTCCGCAGTGGGGGCGGGGTTGTCCAAGCGAATTCCTGCTGCCTCTCTCCCCCTGGCTTCCTCCGGGGAAGCCAAGCCAGTCCGCAGGCCCCGCCTTCCCACCTAACCGCAGCCTGTCCTGCAGCGGGCGGGAGGGGCTGACCTTGCCCTCCCTGAAATGCGGGGAATGCTCTTCCGAGTGAGAGCCCAGTCACTCACCCTGGCTTCCTCCGGGGAAGCCAAGCCAGTCCGCAGGCCCCGCCTTCCCACCTAACCGCAGCCTGTCCTGCAGCGGGCGGGAGGGGCTGACCTTGCCCTCCCTGAAATGCGGGGAATGCTCTTCCGAGTCTGAGAGCCCAGGCCTGGACGTGCTGGGGAGTCACTGGCCACCCTCCACTCCAGGGCCAGCCGTCCCTCCCTGCCGTGCACCGGCCCCAGGAGTCCTGTCCCAGAGCAGCAGTTCGGGGTGGGCCGGGCTTCCTGGCTGCAGCTCTGGAGGGGTCTGCAGGGGTGTGACCAGGAGGAAGGTGGAGAGGCAGGGAGTGTCACAGGTTCGAGAGTCCCCTCCCCAGCTTTTCCAGGTTAGTCTCCTAAAGTAGGGCAGAAAGTAAAGGATACATCACCAGCACATGACTTTGTGTCTCCTGAGACCGATAGGCTGCCTTAAATGGCAGCTTTTTTTCTCTTACAACATTTTTGGTAAATGCAGTCTCAGTTTAACTCTACCGCATGGATCAGGGCAAATTGATCCATGCAGGAGTCCATTTTCAGATTGCACTAAGCCAGTCGGAGAGACGGGGAATCAGTGTGTGTTTCCTTGGGAACAGCCTTCTTCCCCTATCAGTGGTCTCCATTTTAGGTGGCGTAACTGTCGGCTGCTTTCCTTCTCGTAATTCTTCATTTTGTTAAGTGTCCTGAGTTTACAGACATTTTATAACTGAGTAGGGGAAATGTACATGTATGCCCAGATTAGGATTTTAGGAAAATTTTCTTTCTTTCTCTAACCGTGATGAAAATGCAAATGTGGAAGGATCTGTGATGGGGCCAGGCCTAAGGAACTTGACAGTGTTGCCAGGATCCACAGGTGTTAGGTTCCCAGCCTTGTCAGGGTGACTAACAGTTGGGTGGCCCTGGC